AATATTTAGTATTAAAAACTTTGATACCCTGGGAGAAATAAAGCCTTAAAATTTTTACTACAATTTCATAAAATTGAAAATATTTCAAAAACGGTAAGGTTTAGGTGTGATAAACCTTAATCAAATTTACCTTTATTTCAATCGTAGAATCCAAAAATAGAATAATATACAGGGTATTCCATTTGAAAAAATACAACTATAATATTTTTTACTTATTTGGGACACTCTGTATCTTGTAAAAATATTTTTAAATTGTAGTTCTAATAGATCTTCAACGAACCCAAAACTTACAATTTGTAAAAATCTAATCAATCTAATCGTTTAGCTACAATACTCCGTGTCGTATGTGGTGAACAACCCTGTATATTATGAATCAGTCTGATATTCTCTAAAAATACATTTTACGGTTATTATACTACCAGTTTCTGCCGATGCTCGGTTAACAAACACGAAATCGTGTACGTATCTTATATTTTCCGTTTTTAATTAAAGATTTCGTAGGGGAACGGGTACCATCCCGGCCCGCGGCGGTGTAAAACGACTAATTTAAATCGGACGTCTGGGTTCGCGAAACGCGTATAAAATCGGTTTTACGAGCCCCGGCTCGGATTTAAATTGGCGCGGGCCATGTTGTCGGGCTCGAGATGTCGTTAACGACTTGCAGTCCTCGTCGCTTTTACTGGCATATGGCCGCGTGTGGAAGTACCTTTAATTATTTCAATTTAAGAATTTATGTTATGGCAATTATTTTTGATGACAATTTGGTAAAAGGATTATTTGGGGAACAAACTCACTAACTGCATTTCCATTTCTCCAACTCCCAGTGGATGACATACCAAGAATGTACAACTTTGAGAAACACCTCACTGCAGTATTGAGTAATAAAATGGATTGGAAAGAAGAAACGTTTGCTCAGCATGTAAAAGACCATACCATAACTTAGTATACTGATGCTTCCAAAACCAAAGCAGGGACAGGAGTATTTGAGCCGAAAACTATATACTCCGAATCAAGGGGCACCTACCCCAGCATCCTTCAGGCAGATATTTACGCTATGGAAAGATACGATTTATCTTAGATTGGAACTAGCCGTCTTATCCGATAGTCAAGCAGCACTAAACGCGATCAACTCAGTAACCATCAATTCGAAGTTGGTCAAATAATGCCTAGAGAAGCTCAACAAATTAGACAAAGAAAATAAAGTCCTACTCTGGGTGCCTGCTCACCAAGAGATAGAAGGCAATGAAAAAGCAAATGATCTAGCTAGAAAAGGAGCGAACACTCCACTAACTGGTCCAGAACCGTTTTCTTTTCCAAGCGGGAACCAACTGAAAGCGGAACTGAAGAATCTGGAAGACTCCATCCGTAACCTGGAATGGATGTCCTTCAACGGTCTAAGACATTCGAAAAAGTTCCTCAGAACTTACGACCTAGAAATATCAAAGATTTTCCTTGATTTAAGTAAAATCAATCTTCTGATCGTCACGGGATTTCTAACAGGACACTGTCTCCTCAACGAACACCTCAGTAGGCTGAAGCTGAGAAACAACGGCGAATGCAGATTCTGTGAGGAAATGGGGAAACACCAGAACACCTTATCAATGAGTGCGCCGAGACGACGACCGTTCGTGCCATGAGCTTTGGTACGGCTGATGTCGAGGATGGAGAGCTGCCTCTGTGGAGTCGTCTCAGATACTGGCTTTTGTTAAAGCCCTGAGACTGTATGATGAGTTATAACTCGTTATAACTCAAGACAGTGGAACACACAATAGATCTCTAAGGTCGCGGTGATTAACTCCCCTCTTAAACATTCTACATTCTACTAAATTCATGGCATTGCAAACTACATACACAGAGTTACAATATTATATCAGAAACGACGTTCTAAATTCATTTTATCCCATTCGAATTAAATGGCGAAAATCCATGTGTGTTCATTGGCGGTAGACAAACAGAAGTACGACCTTTTGTGCTGTGGACATATTGCTGTTTGTTTGTCATTGTCAAATGAAGAGTGTTTTTTTGTACTACAACCTCTCTATTTCTGAATAATACCGCATAAAATGATGAATGGAACAACGACTGGTGACCATGTAGTTGGGGATACGGATCTTGGTAGCAGAAAAATACAGAGAAATTTCACGTCTGAAGAACACTCAACCGTTTCTTTCAATTTTTTTCAGATATCATCAACTTATCTTAGATAGGAACTATCGGAAACAAGAAATAGCCATCTTATCCGATAGTCAACCAACATTAAAAGCGACCAGCTCATTAACAATCAATTCGAAGTTGGTCAAAGAATGCTTAACAAATTAGGCAAAGATAATAAAGTCCGCCTATTCTGGGTGCCAGCCCAATAGAAGGTAATGAAAACGCAAAAGATCTAGCTAGAAAACTGGACCAGAACCGTTCTGCTTCCCAAATAGAAACCAATTTAAAGGGGAACTCAAGAACCTGGAAGAGTCCATCCGTAACCTGGAATGGGAATCGTTCAACAAATCCTATGAGAGCTTTTTGGGTAAATGTGTTACATCATTGTATTTGGGAGGTTATAGCTACAAATATAAATATCTCGGATTAAAAATAACTAATGATGGAAAACTCGACGAGGGTATAAAAGATCGAATAATGCAAGGCAGAAGGGCAATATCTATGTTGAATGGTGTACTGTGGGTTCAAGTAATCTCTAAAGCTAATAAGAAGAACATATATAATACGGTAGTGAAAAGCATAATAACTTACGGAAGCGAAGTATGGTAGTTGAAAAGCAGAACAGAGAATTGCTATTAGCGACCGAAATAGATTACTGGAGGAGATCTGCTGGAAAATCGAAAAGAGAACAAATAACCAACAATAGAGTAAGGGAGATTATGGGAGCAGAACACACAATTGTGGACGACATAAGAACAAAACAACTCATATGGTTTGGTCATATGCAACGAATGCCGGATCACAGAATACCAAAACAAATTTTACTGTGGACGCCTCGAGGCAGAAATAAAAGAGGAAGGCCGCGACGAAGCTGGAGGGAGGGTGTGGATAAAGAACTTGAAAATAGGGAAATACCTGATGATCTCTGGCTAAATAGACAAGAGTGGAGGTTAGGTGTCGGAAAACGTCGTAGAACGTTCTGAACCGACTTATATATATATAGCTAATAAAAATTTAGAAAAATAAATTGACGGCTGCTGGAAAACGGAACATCCAAGTTAAGATTGAACAGCACCATCTTTATATAGTGAAAAAAGTGACAATGATGATGTTGCATTTACATAAATATTTTAAAATACCTCTTCAAATTAAATCGGGAAAAAGATGTGCCGAGAAAAGTTGTGTCAGTGGTGTTAAATCTTAACTTAAAAAACAACTATTTTGATTCAAAGAATTTCTTCTAGTGGTAAAAAACCCAGAATACTTTTCAAGAAATGAACCTGCCACAAAGCTACAGACATTATTTTAAATATCTCGAAAGTATTCGCAATTTCTTAATTATCAACACGTCGTTTTACAGGACATAAAATTGCGAAGCTTTTTTTGACTGAATTTCGAACATCCTGTATAAGTAACATCGAATTTAAAATAAAGTTCGACTTGCTGATCTTTCATGAGAATATTTCTCTGAACTAAAATTAATCATTGATTTTAAACAATATAATTAAATGTTTTAGTTTTTATGGCGCTTATGATGTATTAAGAGGCTATCTCCACCACCTTACTGTGTGCTAAATACACTCTTTCATATAGAAGGCTTTTACAGAATTTTGTGACAAAACTCACACATAGTGATGATAAAATGCAAGACAAAGACCAAGACTCCCTTGGCCTTGGTCTTGCAGGGTTTAGGCTTGGTCTAGATTTTTAGTAAAGGCACTTTTTACATGAAACACTTTATATAAATAGTATTTCTAGTAATTTTATGCAAATTAAACTTAAAAGAATTAGAATTATTAGAATATTTTTAACTGACGACAATTTTTATTTTTCAATATATTATATTGAATCAGCATTTCTTTTTTTAAAACTTTATGCAATTGTCGAGCAAATTGGGGACATCAATTGGATAGTAGCAAAATCGAGATTAACAAATTATTTTTGGAGTTTTAATAAACAAAAACATCCAATATATACATCCGATATAATTTTGTTGTTAATCCATTTTGGTTCAAATAAAAAATTCAAATTTAAATTCAATGTGTTGTCGCCCTCTTAAACATTTCCTTTTTGTTTTAAAACGCTTTCTCTGCAATCTACTTAATAACAAGAAAATAAAACGTATGTGCATCAAACGTTATCGCACAAAAATCCAGTAAAAGCTTTCTTAGCAGAAATCTCACAATAACAGTGAAATATCTCTTACTCTCGAATAACGTAATCAGTTACTTTGTTAAATGCATTATGTAGTGTACTGTTATAGTTGGCTTATTAATGTTAATCATTAAAATACTGCAATTATCTAAATGATAGCGATATTGTTTTATTTAATTAATTATGGATATATTTAATTTTAGTTAGGTCGAATCTATACCGTATATCAATGATCGTTTACTCTTTACAATTAAGAGTCCATTTAACTAGTCCAAAAAATTAGCAAAATATACATAGATTGAAGTTTTGTGATTATAGTGATATATAATTTATATGGTTTTGTAACAAGGGCTAAGCCTTAGGCAGATTTCTCAAGTATAATAAGTACAGCGTAATAAACTCAAAATAAGCTTCAATAATATTAAATTGTAATTAATACTGTAATAATGCTATAATTTTAACTATAGTGATGCGTGAGACTCGTCACAAAAAGCAAGACCAAGACTAGCGTTTTATCTGCAAGACCAAGAATGCAAGACCTGGACGAGTCTCACGCATCACTACAGTTAATTATTCACTGTATCTGTATATATTTGATGTAATAAACTGAATTTCAGTAAAAAGAGAAATACGAGGTATTGTTTCTTAAGCGATGATAGATAGTATCAAATAGTTATAACAATAATAAATACCTGTTAATTCGTCTGATCCAACATCTCTGGTCACCAGAGCCGCAACAGTTTGAATGGCAGGACAGCCCCAAGCGCACACGTGAAGAGCTGAAGATAGCCCATGTAGTTTTTCTTGAGACCATGAAAAGCCAGCTCTGGCCAGCCACCAAACGCAGAGACACACCCACCTGAAACAAAATAAAAATCAATTAATTTTCTCAGCACTTTTAAGCATTTTTTTATAATAACTGAATAACTTATTATATTGCCGACATTAGTTCTTTCATGGCTGACTTATCATTTTTTGTTAGACACACTAAACGCAAAGTTGGTAGACTATTGGCTGAGGACGTGGTTAGAAATCCGCCTAAATAAATTCTGGTCTTCTTCTTTTATCTAGAGATTACATTCTCTAGTTGTATTATCTTCAAAAAATCTAAAAACTTGGAGACTGAACCTTGTGTATCGCTCTTTGCCAATTGCTTCATCGCCTGATTGACCATCTTTTGATTGACTTTGTTATGCCAATCCCATCAACTTAAAAGACTTATTCAGATTGCAATGCCCAATTGGTAAACCCACTACTATTTTCACAGTATTCCTGTCTTTGCTCATCAGGTCCACCATTCTAGATTTTGTTGGCCACATCTCATGTGAATATCTGCTGTTATTTTTTCTTACAAATGTCACGGAACATCTATCTCATCACGAAAATCGTTTTGTTTAATAAAAACATATATTTCCAGATATAAAATAATAGCAAATAACACTGATTCCCGTACAGAAACCTTTATTATACAGGGTGTCCCAGAAATAAGTGCAAATATTTTAAGGGGTGGTAGATCTCGATAAAAGAAACATATTTTCTCTTTAACGTTTTTCAAATAAGTCCAAAATAAGGGAGTTATTTTATTTTGAAAATTTCCAAAAAAATATTTATTGCTAAAATTTTGAGAACCACTGGATCTTTTCTGGATTTTCTCTCTTGTAAATTTAATCTAATACCTATGTTGCCATATTATCAAGAAATTATGTTTTTTAACTAAAAGCTAAAAAAAATTCCAAAAAATTTTTCAAAAAATTTCGAATTTTCAAAAATTTTTTTTCGCGAAAAAAACCTCATAGGCGTGTTTCTGGGGTTGAACTATACTGCCAGTTAAAATATTTGCACTTATTTCTGGGATACCCTGTATAGTATGTCCCCCGATTGTCTTTACAAGAGGAAAAACTTTTTTATTATTGACATTTTGAGAAAAATGCATTCTTCATAAAAAATTTGCTTGTTCAAAAATGGTAATGCTGTTTATAATTTTCCAAATTTCCATTAAGAAAATTTCCAAATTAAGAAAAACATGAAAATATGGCTGATATTTTTCTAGCTTCTAAAAATCAAAACGCGTTTCTATGGTAATATAACTCGTCGTGAGAAGACAGTAGTCAGTTAGCCAGGGAAGATGTAAGTACCTTAATAAACAAATCATCTCAGCATACTCTGTACTCTGTCTAGTCTTGGCATTTTCAAAAGCTGTTATTGAATTTCTAAAACTACTGTATATTTTATAATAAATAAATATATTTTTTATAATGGTTGTTTTGATCAAAAGAGAGAACCTGGTATAAGAGATCCCCACAACCAACCCCCCACTGCTGACAGCAGTTAGTCGTCAGTATAGTAGTATGAACTTTGGAAAAGTATAAACGGGATTAACCATTTTAGAACAAGGAACATTTTTTATGAAGAATCGATTTTTCTCCAAATGTCAATAATAAAAAAGTTTTTCCTCTTATTGTAAAGACAATCCGTGGAAATACTCTAGAAATATATTCACCTGCATGCTGTATACTATAGTTTCTCCAAAAATTGTATAATAAACTTTTATATTTTTCTTATAAAAAACTACAGAATAAATTTAATATTAACCAAACATGACTATATTATAATTATTTAATACACACTAAATTCTAAAATATAAAATAAATAATATCTCTGATTCAGCTTAAGAAACCTTTTTTATAAATATGGACACCTGCTGTTCGTGATTAAAGGACCAGTTACCCTCGGACCCTAACCATATTTTACTGTTTTATTGGCTATAATAAATTCAACTGTTATTGACAATCCCCACAAAATGCATGGTAATCTCTTCTAAATACAATAAATTACATCTAAAAACTGATATATAGGGTGTCCCAAATTCGAGGGTGACCAATAAAATCTTAAAAATCTAAGATATATCAAGAAGGTTGTGATTCTTGTGAAATTTTATGTTGAATAAAATGAATGTTTCAAAATTAAATAAGACCGAATAGTTTTCGAAAAAAGCAAAATCTATACTAATATAAAATCCTTGTGACTCAATGATTAATCACGATCCTGCTCAAACCACTCAAAGTAAGAAGCTCAATTTTGGCATACAGGTTGATTCTAGGGTGTAAAGATTCGATAAGAAGGGATTTTTCGAACTTCCAGTTCCAAGGGAGTGAAACCACCCCTCAAATATTACAATATTTTTTTATTTAAAATACGGCCAAGTTTCCGAAAAAACGCTTAAACACGTATATTTTAATTTGTTTTTTACATATTTCAAGATTTTTAAAAATATATACAGGGTGTTTCGAAAATTTGGTTACTGATTAATCATGATCCTGCTTAAAGCGCTTGACGTAAAAAACCGATTTTTGGAAAACGGATTGACTTTAGGGTGTAGAGGTTCGATAAGAAGGGATTTTTCGATACTCGAATTCTAAGGGGGTGAAATCACCCCTCAAATATTAGAATATTTTTTATTTAAAAACCACTGAGTTTTTCGGAAAAAACTCTTAAACACGTATATTTTATTTTGTTGTTTTACATATTTTAAGATTTTTTCAAAATTTATACAGGGTGTTTCATAAAATATGACCATTGAGTAATCACCTAAATCTATAAGTAATCACGATTCTGCTTAAACTGCTTGACGTTTAAAGCTGATTTTTGGCAAACAGATTGACTGTGGGGTGCAGAGGTTCGATAAGGAGGGGTTTCTCGAATCTCAAATTCCAAGAGGGTGAAAACGCCCCTCAAATATTACAATATTTGTTATAAAAAAAACTGTTAGTCTTTCGGGAAAACGCTTGGACACGCATAATTTATTTTGTTTTTTACATATTTTGAAATTTTTTAAAAAATCGTACAGGGTGTTCCAGTTTGTATGTTAATGGAAATTCTTGCTTTGCTTTATCATCATCATTACAAATGATTAATTCGACGCGAACGAAGTCGCGGGTACACGCTAGTATTCTATAATTTCGTTTTTATTTTTTCCTTGTTTATGTGAAGAGATATTTTAAAATAATTTGATTTCGATTGGTTTTGTTTCGCGATGCTGAGTTTGTCATATCTGGTCAATACCAACTGAGTGCCTTTAAAATTAGTTTAGTTTAAATCATTTGCTGATGATGCTAACATGATTTAATTTTTTCTGTATACAGCATTCAAATTCAAAATTCAGAATGAGGAAAATTTGAAATTAGGGGTCGCTTCTAAGTACTCACTTTCGTCACTTAAGGAACCTCTGTAAAAAATTTCAAACTCCCAGGACTAATTTTAACCTCAGAATTTCCGAAAATAGCTTCATTACGGCACATAAGGGATCTCTGTGGAAAATTTGATACTGCTAGGACATATTTTATTTATTTTTTTACCACCATCTACCCCTCATTGCACCCCCTTAGAGTAGTAGTAATACGAATAGTTACTTTTTCAACACTTCTACCCTGGACCCTTCAATTGGAAGAATAAAATAATAAATATTCCTGACTGCTACTTTTTAAAATGCCACCCTGTATAATTAAGTGCTCCTTAACAATATGCCAGTATTCAATCTCTAAAAATGTATACAATTTAAGTAAATATTTTCACTCCATTACTTTCTCCGAGTAAATATTTTACTCTGTTGCAAAAATTAGCGAAAAGCTAATACGCCCGACGTGTATTTTCAGCAAAACCGCTAGCGCCAACGCGTTTATTGACATTGGGAATAAATACGACTTTTTACGATGCGATAAATAGCGCAATATAACAGTTGTTAAGTAATAAAACAACATATATCTTTTAACTTTTGGGCGCTTACGCTTAATTCCTTTATTGCCGCGGAATATTATCATTTAATAACTTTTCGACTAATTTCATATATAACAACGCGTTCCCAGTAATACTAACATGTTTTTATTTAGTAATGTTTCGTTAAACAGAGTCGTTTATGTGAAATAATGCTTAAGACGTTTAATATGGTGTGACACAAGAATGAGCTATAAATATTGTAGTGCCATGGAATTTATTTATTTGCGTATTGAAATAATATTTTGGTTGTATAGGCTTAGTGCATTCTCCGCCGGTGCTGCCATCATCGGAGAATATCCTAAACACTCGATATATACACAGGTTTAAATTGCGAGTATACGAAAAATTTTTATTATTTAATTATTCTAAAAGTGTTAAGCCCCATACTCCCATTTCGCTACTTCACTTCGTTCCTTCCTCGTGTCCCTTCGTCCAAAAATCATATATTTACTATGGGAAAATGTCGATTTTATGCGACTGTGTGTTCCTTCCTCCTTCGTCAAAACGCTACTTCGTCCGTTTACTTCCTCGAAACGCTCCCTCCACGTACTGTCGGTTTTTGGAGGAAGAAGCAAAGGAATTATCACGAACACAAAAAAATATTAAAATATATAAAATATATAAATCGATCTTGGATTTCATTCGTAGTTGATTTCTTGATTTGGCAGTACGTCTGTACAGGGTGTCCCATTTTCGTGTGTTTTACAGGGTTTCTCGTTTATGAGTCGAGATACAAAGATGCGGTTTTCACATTACGCTGTTACTTTTTTATGAAACTAAAGATGCTACATACAGATATGTCCTAGCTCTCTTACTTCCTAAAATACAGGGCGAATCTGAAATTATTGCATTTTTCGATCCTTTTTGTATCATAACTTATCGAAAAGGTGAAAACGGTCTCTCGTACAGTTTTTCACGTAGAATGCAATGACGTAACTATTTCTTCGTTGGAATCTGTCTTTTTTTAAATTGACTAAAACTTATATGTTTTTTTAAATACGATATTTTGTACATTATTTTATTTTCCTTGTTACGAGCTTTCTAAAATACTTATTTTACAGATACACCAATAAAGTTACTATCAAT